GAGGCAGCTGAAGTTTCTGGGACAATTTTTTTTTAAGCCTAAACATGGTAGGAGTTCCACTTGCACACAAGGGGTTAGAGAGTGAGAGCAAGAGTAAAGAAGGGTGTTTGAGGAAAGGATAAAGAGAAGGATGAGGATCAAGATCAAGGCATCAGAAGATGTTGACTGACATTACATTTGAATATTTGAAGATTATAGTTATCAGGGAGGCAAGTAAGAGGAAGGGAGTTCCGCTGTTGGGAAGAGCAAAATAAGTAGCTGTTGGAGTAGAAGAGACAGCTACATTTAACCGTTTCAAAAGTGAAAGTGTGGGTCGATGATGCCAACCTAGTAGCATGCTTAAATTTATGCAGTTTGGGTACCAGTGAAAATAGCTCATCAGAGCAGTTGCGATGAAAATATTTGTAGAGAAGACAGAGGGAAGCCATAGGTTTGTCTTTCTTATTTATGTTCCTTTTTTGGCCATGGCCCTTCAGGACGTGGATGATCTCTGTGGTTTTGAATTCAGAGTATTCCTTCTTGGTGGTTGCTAGTGAAGACTAGAGAGCTTAGTCTACCATGCTATTTAACAGATAACTCAGAGAGGGAGAAGAGATAGATTGATGACTTTACAAAAGTGAACATAACAGACTAGACTGGAATTTAAACTTGGTTTCCTGGTTCCATTTTACACACCAATAACCATTACACTTCTCTACATCCTCTTTTTCTCTTTTAAACTTTTCACCCGAAGCAAGACGGGAATGCCACTAGAACACAAGGGGTTACAGAAAGTGGGAGCAAAAGTAAAGAGGCGTGAAAGAGCAAAGGATGAAGAGAAGGATGGGGAATAGATCAAGGCATCTGGAGATGACATTACATTTGACATAGTTGGAGGTTAAAGCTATCAGGGAAGCAAGAGAAAAAGAGTTCAACAGACAGGAAGTGTGAGACATGAAGCTATTGGAGTAGAAGAGATGGCTACATTTAACCATTTCAACAGTGAAAGGGTGGGACTGAGATGCCAACCTAGTAGCCCATTTAAATTCATGCAGTTTGGGAACTAGTGAAAATAGCTTGTCACAGCAGTTACCATGAAAGTATTTGTAGAAAAGACAGAGAGAGGCAATGGTACATCTGTGAGAGTGCGACTGTAAATTAGATATCAGATCAGAGCCAACCACACTGCATATCCATCTCAATTTTGTCGAGGACCCTAAGACAAACAGTGGGCGATCCATACTATATATGACAGCAATATTCCATCCAAGGGCGAATGGTTGATTTTTAGATTTGAAGGATGAACTTGGGTGAGAAAAAACTTTCTGCCATGACACAGAGAACCAAATTTCCTTGCGGTAAATGAAGCTGTTGTTTCAATGTAATTGTTCCGTCTCAGGTCAGCGGACAGTATGAGACCAAGCAGTCACAAAGATGTACTCTTGTGGATCTGAGCATCAGACATTCTAATGGGAGGCAGGGTGGGTTCTCTATGGTAGGTAATAGAGAGCAGTTTTGTTTTTGAGGCATTAAAGTTAACCAGCCATTTCCTGCTCCAGTCAACAACTGATTGGCGGTCCTTTTCAAGACCAACGGCCAGGTTAGTTTTGTCAGCGATACCAGATTTGCTATTTAGGCAGGAGTAAATAGTGGTGTCTTCTGCATAGATGCCGACTTAGGAACTGATGACATCAGGAAGATAGTTAATGAAGATAAAGAACAGTATAGGACCCAGGATAGAGCTTTGGGGAACACCTATGTTTACGAGAAAGGAACTGAAAGAGAATCTGTTAAGGACGACCTTCATTACATGGTTTGACAGGAATGATTGTATTAAGATGGGATAGAATGGTCGCCAGAGTTAAAGAATTTCTTTTATATATCTCAATATGTATATTTTTACACATCTTCCTACTTTTTTTCCACCATTTCCTGCTTTCCTTCCATCCCTTTTTTTACTCATTGTCTGTTCTTGATATCCAGCCAGCAAGCCTGTCTCTCTCTGTATTTTGTTATCTCCATCAATATTTATTTTTTCCTTTCATCTGATTTCCTTAAAATTCTAAATAGTTATATACTCATGTAGTATTTAGCAGTATATATAAGATTAACCCCCTAATCTTGGTAGATAATCTTGCCTAAATTTTTTTTAATCATTTCTTAAATAAACTTAACTTTAATGTCCATCAGTAAAAATTATCATTACACTTCTTTTAGAAATATTTTACTGTCTAATGATCAACAGTATGTTTAAAGTTGTTTTCCAATTGCCGGCATTCTGTTCTAAAATATTGAACCCCATTTTGCATCTACAAAAGCAACCCAAAAATCTTTGATGTTATCACAGAACAAGGTTTTGGCAGTTAACAGTTATTCTCTAGACATTAAAAGACTTTGACATTTTTTTCTTCTAAAAAGGGTTCAATGTAATTGATTTCTATGATGAAAAGAAACACATTTTCATGAAAGTGAAACTGGAATATTTGTTGGTATCATTTTTCCAGGGAAATATTCAATATTTCATATAAACACAGATGTATAGATGAAAAAGTTTTGATGCTTTTATATAATATAAAATTATAGTTCTATTTAAATTCATTGATCCTCTCATAAAAATTAGGGAAATTTATGGTCAGAGTGGGGAATAATTCTGGGGAGCTTAACATTCATTAGAGCTTGTTCAAAACACAACATTTGTTAGAATGGAAAAATAATGATTTTTCTATTCCTGTTCATAATATAAATCCAATGCCAAACCAATCCCTCACTTCTTAAATAGATACCTGTACATTGGTTTTGGTAACAAACGTGGTTTAGCAGCATTTCAACTTCTATGGGTTATTTAATTCAGAAATTTTAATATTTTGTATATAATTTTATTTTAGTTTTTGGAAATAATAATGGTTTTTAGTGATACAAGTCTAATTAATTAACCCATAGCTGGAGGAAAAAGAGATGGATTCATATCTTTCTCAATAGTAATTGCATGTAAGTGAATATAATGAATCCAATTGGAATTGGAACTCTGATTAACAATTCTGGTATTCCCATAATAACAAATGTCAAGTTTGAAACTGGGCTTATGCCATGGATAAATGCTTACTATTGATGTTGTCCATTTTCTCAAATTGAGCAATCTGTTTATCCTTCAAGTTAGTTGCAGTTTCCCATGTCTCACCAGTTATTCCACACATTTCTTGAAAATCACTCAGCTTGGAAATTAAAAACCTAATTTTCTATAAGGGTCTATCAAAAATATTTTTATTTAATAATCAGAGATTCCCTGTATATATGTTATCTTTGGATGATTCCAACATCCTCATCAATAAATCATACTGACACTTTACAATTTTGGCAACTTTTCTGAGATCATTTGAAAAATTAATCTTTAATTTCAATTAAAAATTTAAAAAATTCCTAGAAAAATTTAAGAAAAAAGAGATTAGCAAGAAAAAGTAATTTTATTAGTAGTTCATTTTTTGAAGATGGGAAAAGAAAAAGAAGAAATAAGCTAAAATATAAAAATAAACAAGATATTCTAATTAAGGACAGTTCTAAAATTTCTATCCTGTCTCTTGGTTTCTATATATTTATTATTTATGCTTAATTCTGAGTTTCCAAAATGGCCTCATGGCTTGATTTAAGAAAATGGAGCTGATGAAATTATTTTAAATTCTGATTATTGTCTAAAGATTCATTTTATAAAATTGAACTTCTAGGTCAGGAACCTTTTATACTTTGTTTCACAATCAGCCATATTGATCTTATTTTATCACATTTTGACATTAAAATTAGAATTAAAGTTCCTTGAATTTTGAATTTATTTATTAGATTGGCCTAAGAGGATGGGATTTTGTCTGCTGGGTTTTCGTCTGCTGGGTGCTAGCTATACTCTGTTTCTTTTTTTCTTGTGACTTTTTTACTGTGACTTTTTACTTTTTTTATTTTAACTAAACTGTAACAAAGCTATATTTTCGTTGGTGGAAGATAATGTATTTGGAGCCAGATATCAATAATAGTCAATTCTTCAACATAAGTATTACTATATTTTGTTTGTTGAATGTATATTTTACATTCAGCCATGATTTTCAGCAAAATTAAGTATGTGCAAATACAAATGTGCATATATTGTAAGAATTATTTGCTGAAAAGTGATGATTTTTTCCTCTGTTTTGCTGAAATAAAGATCAGTGTGAATGTCAATGACATTTCTAAGATTTCTCTAACATTCTGAAAAAGTTAATGCTGGGAGCTTTTTTATTAACTTAATATATTTTTTCTTTTTCATAAAGATGATATGAAAATGAAAACTGACAATATAGAAATGTTAGAAAGTATCTTTGAAATATAATAGATATTAATAAATTAGCTGATATCACAGGCAGAATTTATTGATAAAAGAAATATTTTCATGTTATTCATTAAATGTGTTGTTGCATGTGATAATAAAAGCAACCTATAATTACAGTTTTATTTTAGTATTCATTGCATATAAATCAAATATTGAAAATGTTTGTTTTTCTTATCATGGACCAATGACTTTACCACCATTCTATCATTAAGCTATTTTCTGTTATAATATAGATTATATTCAATAAATCAATAGATGTTCAATGGTCTTATTTCATTGACTGATTTGTCCAGAGATTCCTGTAAAGCTGAAAGTGTTAACTACAGTTGTACTGTAGCCCTAAGTGCATACTTTTTAATCAGGTCATGTATTGTTTATGTAGTCCATTATAGAGAGTATTTATTAAACAAAAATGTCAAAACTTTCATTCAACATTTGCAGTATATTTAAAACCAGAAAATATTTTTAAACTGTAAGAATATTTTCTTTAGATAATAATGGTTTAGTGATACAAATCTTAGAAATTAACCCATAGCTGGGGGCAGAAGAAGTGGATTCATACCTTTCCCAAGGGTATTTGTGTGTAAGTGAATATAATGAACCTACCAGGAATTGGAACTTAACAATTCAGAGTCATCATCTATTACACCACCCGCACATCCAAGTTTATAGCACTTGATATTCCCAAGTGGTCACTCATCTAGGTACTGACCAGGCTCAATATTGCTTATCTTCAGTGATCATACAGGAAATGTTGTTTCAATGTGATCTGACCATAAGCCAATCATATGTATATGAAATTAGCTTTGGAATAAAAATCTGGAAAAATGAAACTAGATATGATACATCCTAATACTTGATCAAATTTAAAAGACAGGGAAGGAGTGTGAATATCTTCAACTATTGTCCAGTTCACACACCTTTTGAACAGGATTAAATGTTTATCCCTTGTTTCCTTCTTAGAATTGAATTCTTGGTTCCTTCTTCTAAAGTCTTCTCATTTTTTTTACCACTCCCAGTAACCCGTTGCATCTTACTGGCATTATTGCCTTGCTTGGAATGAAGTAATTAAAAAAAAAATAATATATTCCCTAAAAAGATAATATATAGTTATTTTCCAAGCATAGCTTAGATGTAGCACAAGGCCAAAAGTATGGGGCATCTAGTGAGGATCAGTTGTAACTGATCCAGTGAGACAAGCTTGCTAACCATTACACCACACCGAGGTGACCAAAAAAAACAAGATAATATATATATATAAATATTCCTATGTTACCAGCAATTATTACATTGTCACATATGAAATGACACACTTTGTAGGAAATGAATGAAATGTTTCTGAAATGTTAGATAACTAATTTATTTAGTTGAAATTAGGCACCATGTTGATGAATGACTTCTCTAACATATCTCTAAATTCTTGATCCTGTCTTTAAAAAAATCTCATCCTTTGATGTAATAAACAGTCCAAATGCTTCAATTACTTCTTCCTTATTAGAGAATGTTTTATTGCGCATGAAAAGCTTGAAATTCTTAAATAAGTGATAATCAGTAGGAGAGATATCAGTTGAATATGGAGGATGAAGCAAAACTTCATCATACAGTAACCATTAACCAAAATGTGCCATTTCATGTGTATATATATATAAAATGTGTATAGTAATGCAGCAAAATTGGGCCATTCCTATTCACAAGGTTAGGATGTTTTGTTTTCAATTCTTTGTGCATATGCTCAATTTTTCCATAATACAAGTTTGCTGTTAGTGTTTTCCATTGAGACAAGAATAAATAATGAATAGCCCCTTTGAAAGACCACCATTCAATAAACATTAACTTTTTAGAATGCAGTGGAAGCTTTGGGTATTGTTTTGGTGATTCACTTGCATCTATCCACTGACTATCTTACTGTTGTCTAAGAATATTCATTTCTCATCGGATGTAATTCAATACAAAAATGGTTGTTTTTCCCCAGTTTGTACTCATAGAGTAAGATTATTCAACATTGTTTCATTGTAATCACTTTCATTGGGCTTATGAATAACAATATATTGAAAGAAAAATTATCCAGAAAGAAAAACAGTCAAGACTTTTTATAAACTATGGAGTTTGCTTTGTTAGACAACTGGATCATCAACCAACCCCAAAATGTGTCATTTCATGTGTGACAACCTAATATTAGGTTCTTGTTCATGCCATATAAATAGTTTTATGTTTTTTGTCAAGTTAATGTTATAAATCTGTTGCTAGTTTTATTATTTTATATATTATTTATATCTTTTTGCATGTGTGTCTGGTGGGTGGGGGTATGACTTATGCATGTAATATGCAATTCTGTGACTAATCTTACATTGGATAACCACCATAAACTCTACCACTCCCCATAATCAAACAAAAAATACAATAAAATAAAATACAAATTTACTTGGCAGTCCCATACTCATGATAATCTTGAAAAAGTTGCTTTGCAAGCAGGTTAATCTTTGGAGGATTGAATTAGGATTAACCTTTGACTTTTCAAGAAAACCCATCTTATTCAATACTCATCATCTTTGCAAATATTAAACATCATGATTTACCTGAAAGTAAACTTTTCTTCAGCAGTTTCCTTTTTGAGTCATCAGTCACCATTTTTTCCCTTGATTATCAAACTGATAAGAGATAAAACAAGGAAATTATGGATTTGGATTCCATTTTTTGGCCTGAAATCTATAGTTAAGTGTTTAATCTGTAAAACATTATAAGTAATATACCCAGAAAAAATAGAATAAACTTTCTGCAAACATATGAAGCCAAATTTTAAGTTCATCAGATCTAAAGGTGATTTTGAATTTTGTTTTCTTTCTCTTATTCCCCAACCCCCTCTTGAAATGTTTAAGTTGAAAAACAGTGAGCCAATTAGTGTTGAAAATCCTTAAGCCAATCATTATTCTGACAATAGGCTCAGATATAAATAGACTAACTCTTTACTTTGATCCGGATCAAAGAAAGAAAAAAAAACGATCAATATATTTTGTCGAGGTGGAGGTCTTGAGCGCTGCGGTTGATGCCAATATTGTCTTTGACAACAAGAGAACAAATTCAAGGAAAATCATTATCAGGTGAATAATCTGTTGATGGGTGGAAGATGTTGGATGGGCAATGGGCCAGAAACAGTGAAACAGGTTGGAAAGGTGAGGAGTTTGCAAAGAAAGAGAAATTTGGGAGGGGATGTAATTGCTGCCTTGACACCAAAGTGTGATTGTTATTTGTTAATACCAAAGTGACTTTAGGTGGATAATCTCAGATAAGAAGATAAGTAGGTTTTTTATTTGTTTGCCATGTCTGTTTCCTGCTTTGACTTTGTTTAGAAATTTGAATATTTTTTATTATAACATTGTTGCTATTTGTAGAGAAGGCCATCTCTTGTGGTCAGATGGCAACAAGTCTTTTGTTTGTTATTACTCATTAGCACTAAAATTCTCCTGATGCCATGTAATATTGTCTAATAAGAGAAACTATAACAATATTTTTTCTTTTTTTTATAATGGTATGAATTTAAGCACAGACTGGCAACAACAGATTAGCAACAAGGTTTCATCAATTTATGGCTGAATGGGATAGATGTAACTGTAAGTTCTATGCTAACAGTTTCTTCTCTCACACTTCTCTCTTGTGGAGCTCTCTTCCGGCTACATGCTTTCCTACTCTGATCTTCAAAAATCTAAATGCAATGTCAATCAGTATCTACTGACTTCTTGATACCTCTTCTTTTATTGTTCCCATTCCTTAAACTTTATCACTTTGTATCTGATTCCATTTGCTGTGTAAAAAGTTTATCCTTCCACTAAAGGTGACTCTGATTCCTGAATTTGAATTTGTTTGAATTTCATAGTTGTGTTGTCATATCCTGCTATAGCAACAAAAAACATCTTTGAGTGAAATTAACAATAAGTTTACTGCAATTGTGAGAGCTTGAAAAAGAATGCAGTGCAAAGAGATGCAATATTAATAATGCAGAGTGATAAAGGTTAATAATGATTCACTTTTTCTTATTCTTTCACACTCACTAACCCCCTTGTGTCTTAGTGGCTTTATTGCCTTGCTTGGGGGTAAAATGATTAAAAAACAAATATATATATATATAAATATATTTATTTTTGGATAAAAAGAGCATTTGGACAGTTTTTATATAATTTATCATCTGAAAAGAAAAAAATTATTAGATCACATGAGAATTTGTATAAAAAACTAAATCAAAGCACATTGTCTGTTTTATTCAATGAAATGTGTATGAAAGAAGGATTACTGACTAAATACACTAATATATATATATATATATATATATATATATATATATATATATATATATATTATATATATTTGTTTATATGTTTTTCCTTTATTTTACTCTTGGACTTTTCAGATATTCTGCATTCAATGTTTTGTTTTTACACAGATGGATTTTCATGCTTAATGCAAGAACAGTATAACATCACTGCAATCAAGCAGTATGTGGTCACTAAATGCTTTAATATCAACAATCTCCTGTTGTTATTGCAGTCAAGAATTCTCTTAAATCTACCTTTCCAAAGCCTAGATAATTATATAAATCTAATTAGCTGCTGACAGTAGGTAATATTTATAATAACTCTTTAACCAAATCCGAAACCACATTGAAACAGCACAAATGATAACTTTCAAGAAACTCAAAATGTTAAGAAAAAGTAAAAAAGAGTGTTCAACTGCTATGTAATATCAATTCTCCTAGGTGATAGTAAATGGCAGACAATTTCCTCACAGATGAAAAGGACAAAGGAAACAGCAGATATGTGATTCTACAGAAGGATTCTATGAATTGGGCATCCTAGCAGCAGGGAAGCTTTAAGTAAAACTGAAACAAAAATGTCTCTTAGAATTAGAAAGATTTAAAATCTCTGGGACACATAATGAAGAAAGAAGTTTTTCTGAATTTGGCACTCACAGAACATATTAAAAGCAAGTGTGACAGGGGAAACAGCATTTAACATATCTAAAAATCTTGTGTAAATGTCATGGACTATAGGGATAGTAAAAACTGCTCAGTTCTACAGTGGGTAGGAAGTTGTGGAGAGCCATGATCGCCAACGTCCTGAAGAACAGGGGCCTATAGGAGAACAAGAATTCAAAGAACATGCCTTTATATGCATGAATGATGGATCCAAACAAGTAACCATTTTCTCAAGAAGATCACTATTATTAATGTACCTTTTTAGTCAGACTCATATACTCATCATAGTTGTTTCAACCATTAATCTCTAGGATTCTTCAGATGTCTCTTATAACCTTCTGAAAATTTTGTAATAAGCACTTTATTCAATCTACGTGGATAAATTGTTCTCATTTCATTTTCCATACATTACTGCTAATAACATTGTGTGAGAAAGTGTTTTTGCATGTCACTGCACAAGCTGTGATGACATCCAACATTAGCTGTATGCAAATACACTGGCATTTACTATGTTCCAGAGAATCGTCTTGATTATGGCTGTGAATATGTTCAACAAGGAAATAATGGCAAATGATTTTCAAGACACTTGTTGGGTTGGGAAATAGCAAAAAAAATACAATTTCTCACTTAATTGGCAATGTCTTCCTTCTGCTATGTGAAAGTGATCTATCTGTCTGTCACTAAGTTCGAGACATGGAAAATAGGTCCCTACACATTCACTGTCTGGCCATTTCACTGACTGCTCACTGTTTCACTGATTGTCCCTTCACTCACTGAGGTATTCATTATATGGATACTGGCTGGGGAACCC